TCAGTCAGTGGGACTTGACCTTTTGTAGGAACAACAACAAGTAATGATGAGGAACAAGTAATGATGAGGAACAAGTAATGATGAGGAAGGGATGAACAAATGTATTTTAAGCAATATTTGGTGGCCAGATACTATCCCTGCTATTCCCTATGCCAAGCTACACAGAGTTACACTAAGAGTGAAGTTTTTAAAAATCTAACATTCTGCATAATTAAGCAAAAACATTTTATGTGACATTCATGTGGCTTTTAAAAGCGCATTAAAAATGCTTTACTAGAAAATTAGCTTGAAGACCAGCAAGAGAATGCCTAATAAATAGCGTGGTTAAATTTCACGAAGAGCTAAACAGTTCAAAACTAATCTTGACCAAGGATAGTGAGTCCTTTGTTCATTAGCTAAAAGAAGAGCTGCTATGGGTCAACAGTTAATGATGAGCTTTAAATGATGTTCCTAGTGGATTTCCTTTTTATTTTAAGTGGTGTGAGGGTGAGGGGGGAGTTCATATTATCTCACAGCCTGCAAGTTAAGATGAGAATTATCAGTATGTTTATGTAGCATTATTTCAAAAGTGCACGGCTCAAATGAGCATAAATTGGGTTACTACTTGTAGCAAAGAAGAAAGTATTAATCATTTTATTGTGAATTGTGTTACTCATTAAAATGAAAAATGTCCATTTTAAAAAGTGATACTGTAAGAGAATTTTTAAGTAAGTTTAAAACAGAATTTAGATTTTTGTTTCCAGCAGCATGGCAAACACATTTCTGGAATAAATGTGTGTGTGTGCTGTTGATTGATGTCCCTCCAAAACTTAGTCGCTACTGCGACAGTATAAAGAGGGAGGGAAATCCTATTATGATAATTGAAAATGAGGCCTTGAGGAGGTGATTAGATTGTAGGACCATGGTATAGTGAATGGATTAATAATGGTCGTCAGGGGAATGATTCTGAGGGCTTTCATAGGAGGGCATGTGAGAGTCTCTCTCTCTCTCTAATCTGCCATTTTCTGCCATGTGAGACCCCTGCCTTGCTGTAAAGCCACCACCAAAGAAGGCTCTCAACAGATGTGTTTCCTGGACTTCGGACTTTCCAGCCTCCAAAACTGTAAGCAAGATTTCATTTTCTTTATAAATCACCCAGTTTCAGGTATTTATGTTATAAGCAACAGAAATGGACTAATAGAAAAAAAATCAGTAACAGAGAAATGGTGTGCTGCTTATAAAAAATACTTGAAAACATGGAAGCAGCTTTGGAACTGTGTGCTCAGGAGAGGCTGGAAGAATTTGAAGGAGCAGACTACAAAGAGCCTAGTGGCTGGTGGGAGTTTAGAAGACAAGAAAACCAAGGAAAGTTTGGAACATGGTGAGCAGAATGCTGATAGAAGTATGGACAATAAAGGCCATTCTGAGATCTCAGATGTAAATGAGAAGGGGCTTATTGTAAACTGGGGCAAAGATCACCCTTGCTATGAACTGGCAAGGAATTTGGCTGCATTCTGCTCATACCCAAAAGTATTATGGAATGTGGAACTTAAAGATGCTGACCCAGGATATTTGACAGAAGAAATTCTAAGCAGCAAAGCATAAAGGAAGCTGCGTGGCTACTTGCAACAGCCTATGCTGTTATGGCAGAAAAGGCATAATGTAAAGCCAGAATTTTAAAGGAAAGCAGCATGTGAAGATGTGGAAAATTGGCAGCCTGGCCATGTGGTAGAGAGAGATCATTTTCAGAAGAAAAATGCAATGGTGCTAAGAAGATTAGTAAAAAAGAAAGGGATTATCAGGAGAAAGGGAAAAAGGCCCTGAAGGCATTGCAGAAGCCTCTGGGGCTAACCCTTCCACTTTAGGTACAAAGACCTAGGGAAACAAAATAGTCTTGGGGAGCAGGCCTGAGGCATCATTCATGGGCTTGCTGCCCAGGGCCACCTCGGGAATCTGCTTCCAGCACCAGCACCCCGGCTGCTTTGGCTGTGGCTAAATTGGCCCCCAGTGTGGCTGGACCCACAACTTTGGAAAATACAAGCTGGAAGCCTTGGCAGTGTCCTTGTGGTGTTAAGTTTGCAGGCTCACAGAATGCCAGAGTTATGGAGGCTTGGGAACCTCCACCCTAATGTCAAAAGACATATAGAAAAGCCTGGGGGCCCAGGAAGGTATCTGTCACAAGGGCAGAGTCACCACATAGAGCCTTCACTAGAGCAATGCCGACAGAAAATGTGGGTTTGGAGTTGCAGCAGAAAAACCCACAAAGGCCATGCATAGTGGAGCTGTGGGGGTGGGGCCACCAAGGAGACCCAAGAATTGTGAAGCTACCAGCATGCAATCCCAGCCTGCAAGAGCTGAAGGGTGGCCTCAGACTAGGAAAGCCATAGAGGCAGAGCTGCCTGAGGTCTTGGGGACCCAACCCCCACACCAGCGTGCAGAGGACATTGAACTTGCAGTCAAGGTACATGATTTACCATACTTAAGATTTCAGACTTGCTTAGGACCTGTTACCCCTTTCTTTCGGCCTATTTCTACCTTTTGGAACAGGAATATGTACCCTATGTTTGTCCCAACATTGCATCTTGGAAGTAGATAACTTGTTTTGATTTCATGGATGCGACCTTGAGACTATGGATTTTTGAGTTGAAACAAGTTAAGACTTTTGGGCTATGGGGATGAAGTGAATGTATTTGTATGTGAAAAGGACATAAGTTTTGGGGGGCCAGGGGCAGAAGGCTGTGGACTGATGTCCCCCCAAAATTTACTTTCTATTGTGACAGTGAAAAGAGTGTGGGAAATCCTATTATGGTAATTGAAAGATGGGGCCTTGAAGAGGTAATTAGATTGGAGGACCATGCTGTAGTGAATGGATTAATAATGGTGGTCAGGGGCATGGTTCTGAGGGCTTTAAAAGGAGGGCATGTGAGAGTCTTTGTCTCTCTACTCTGCCATTTTCTACCATATGAGACTCCAGCATTGCTGTAAAGCCACCACTAAAGAAGACCCTCACCAGATGTGTTCCCTGGACTTCGGACTTCCCAGCCTCCAAAACTGTAAGCAATAAATTTCATTTTCTTTATAAATAACCCAGTTTCAGGTATTTATGTTACAAGCAACAGAAACAGACTAATAAAGTATGTGTGTGTCTTTCAATCCCTAGATAAACACAGATATGTTGGAGTGAGTAGGACTGAAGCTGTGCTGGGACCTAAAACCACCTGGGCTGCAGGATATGTTAAAAGACACAGTTTTTCTTTCATACATGTATTTCTCTGGGTTCACTCTTTTCCCATGGTAATTTGGATATTCTGAAACTTGGTTACAGGGCAAGATGACATTATTTACATAAATGTGAAGTTGTTTTCCAGTCAGCCTGAAGCTGCAAACTTGCCATGAGTCACAAACTATCCAGACCCTGAGAAACCAAGGAAGACATCAGCAAGGCTATGCTGATTCCACCCCTCCAGCAGGACCCAAGAGAACACCAAGGTTGGGAACAGAAAAGACAAGGCTTTGGTGAACCTTGCACTTGGCTCCTTGCATGGAGCCCCCACAGCTCACGTCCCTTCTCTCCTGCTTTTCATTGCCCACATTCCATTCTTTCTGCCCCTTCTTCAAAAACCCCTCAGTAAGTCTGAGTCTTTAAGATGGTTTTAGTTTGGCTACTCTCCTTCAGTTTTACAGAGAGATGGGTTGGCTTAACATCTCTCCTCAGATGTTTAATTCCTGAATTAAAGCTGACTTCCATTTTCCCCAACATTTGGGTTTTGAATTGCTTTTATTTAGGGCAGGCAGTCAGACTTGGGTTCAGTAACAAGATTTTGACAAGTCTAACCCAGGAGCTGAACGCCCTAGGGTAACAGATTTTGACAAGCCAAAGTAGGGTTTTTGTTTGGGGCACTTGGGCCCAGGAATAAATACATAGACAATGATATCTATAATGATTAATTTTACATGTCATCTTTGCTAGGTCATGGTATCCAGATATTTGGTCAAACATTATTCTAGATGTTTCTGTGAAAGTATTGTTTAGAGGAGATTAACACTTAAATGATTAGGCTTTAAGTAGAGCAGATTACCCTACATAATATGGGTGGGCCTCATCCAATCAGTTGAAGGTCTTAAGAGAAAAAAACTGAGTTCTCTTGAAGAAGAAGGAATTCTGCCTCCATACTGCCTTTGGATTCAAGCTGCAACATCAACTTTTCCCTTGGCTTGTAGCCTGCCAGGCTGCCCTGCAGATTTCAGACTTACCAGCCTCCGTAGTCATGTGAGCCAATTCCTTAAAATCAATCAATTAATCAAATCAATTTTCTGTCTATATATATTTTACACACACACACACACACACACACACACACACACACACACACACACACACACACACACATCTTTTTGCTTCTGTTTCTCTGGAGAACTCTGACTAATACAATATCTACCTATCTATCTATGTGAGAGACAGAGAAAATTTTAAGCACGTGGGTGAACTAGCAACAAAGTCAGAAAAATCTTCAGAAAGCAAGAGAAACTGTGGATCCAGAGAAGGAATCCAACATCAGAGTGTTAGTGTGACCTGAGGTAACCCGTTGACTTTACCACTGGTCTTCAAATTTACTGCTTACAACAGCACCTAAAAGAATTGGGAAAAGAGGCTGGCCAGTTAGCTCAGTCGGTTAGAGTCTGGTGCTGATAACACCAAGGTCCAGGGTTAAAAAAAAAAGAATTGGAAAAAAACTATACATTCCTTCACACATTTTAAAGTTGCCATCTAAGTGTTTCATCATTAGTTTAACAGGTGCATGCATTGTAAGTATTTGCATATTGGAAACATATACAGGCACACACACATACATGGAGATATATCTTTAAAATAGTCTGCCACATCATTTTAAAATACATTTAATGGACTCTGATTACAATAGCAATGTTATAGCACCATCACATACTTTTAAAAGACATAAACAAGCTTAACTTTACAGATGAATAAGCAGTTAAATGAATAATATAAATTAGAGAATTACTTGACCAGGTGCTTTATTAAGATGTCCAGCATCTCTCTGTTTTTCTCCGGCAATTTGTGCACCAGTGCATGGACAGCCTCCACCCTGTAGTTTTGGTCATCAGATTCTGTTACATAAAAAAGGTTGCAAATGCTTAAGTTTTAATTGCAAGTGTATGTAAACATTAGTGATCTAAACATAATAACCACTCCTACCCCTCATGCCTTATATGCATTGCTTTATGTTGTATTACCATTTTCGTTTACTAAGGCTTAGAGAGGTGGAATAACTTGCCCGCGGTCGTGAAGTCAGGAAGTAGAGAAGCCAAATAAACGCAGTTTTACTGATTCTATGGGTGTGCTCTCAGCCACTGCACTATATATGTCCTTATAACCATAACTCATCACTTGCTTCGGTTTTGCTACCCAAGGGTAAAATAAATCCTTTAGAAATGTGTATGATCACAGCAACTGATACAGAATTATCTAATATGCTGGGTGCTATAATACACATTATAGATTGAGCATCCCTAATTTGAAAATCCAAAATCCAAAATGCACTGACATGAGCACTGACATGATGCTCAAAGGAGCATTTTGGATTTGGGATTTTTGGATTTAGGGATGCTCAATCAGTTAAATATTTGCAAATATTCTAAAAATCTAAAAAAAAAAATCCAAAGTCCGAAACACTTCTGCACCTAAGCATTTCTGACAAGGGACATTCCACCTATATCATATGGAAACCTCCTAAAGAGTCAACCTCAAACAACTAGAGGAAGCTTGCATTCCTCTACTTCTGTTATAGATTCAAAGACAACAGAGTGCCTTTTCTGTGGTATCAACACTATTACGCAAACAGAGGCCCAATAGAATTTAAGCTCTACTGACAGTGGTAAATCTGAAATGTGAGAAATCATCTCAGCAAGTCTAATCTGCCACACAAAAGCTAAGTGTTGACACATCTGCTAGGGAAACATCTAACACTTTCAGAAAGAGAAATCCATTTAACATGCTCTTACTGCAGTAAGCAAATTCTGGGTGATGACCCACGTTGCCGAGCCCTTTCTCTGGAAAGAGCCCCAACCCATAGAGTTAAATGAAAGGACCACCATTTCTTCTGGGCACAGCAATTTGCACATGGGCGGAGGAAAGAGCCTGGCTCAGGCTAAACGTGAAGTCTCTCCTAGGAGCTGATCTGTCTGCTGGATATGTGAAAAGGCAGGTCATGTAAAACCAGGGCTGGGGGGACCAAACAAACTCAGGGAAAATCTGACTGGAAAGGGAGATGACAATGACAAAGAAATGCAGCAAAGAGTGGAGACGAGAGACTCTCCAGAAAGAGTGGGGAGAGAAACATCTATTCCCAACTGTTAAATAAAAATTATAAAAGGTCATTGTTTTGGACTAAATCCCCGCACTAGGCCCCAAAAGACCAGACTAAAAATCTAAACAGAGTCACCCCACTAAATTCCATGTCAGTAGAAAGAGACAACATCCAATCTCCAAAACAGGCCAGTTTAAATCTTCAATAGGTATGATAATGAAGTTTCTTCTCTTTTATCCTTACACAAGAAGGATAGCCTGAGTAACATGATGTTAACCAGTCAGTTATTTTTCTATAGTTCTGTCTCCCTGTCCACACCTTACAAGGAAAGTGACTTTGAAATAGCCAATCAACTATTTGTTCTTTGTCTCTGCTTGCTTTAGTCTTTTTCTGTCTATAGAATCAACCTCCTCTACTCGGCTCATTAGAATGTTTATTCTACTTTATGGAATAAAGTGTTACCCAATTTTAGAATCACAATACAGTCAATTGAGATCTTTAACTAAATTTATTGTAATTTTGTTCTTTGACAACTTTGCAGTTCCTGGATGCAGGCTCATGGAAGGCCAAGGAATTCTGTGAGATACTTCATAGGCTCTGAATAATGTCCCCTTCAACAGGTGTGACAATGAGGTGAGATTTCTGTTCCTTATACTGAGTGGGATTTCTGTTGCTTCAAACCAAGTAACCTAGCATCTAGTAAATAGGATCATCCTTGACTCAGACAAGAAGAGAAATTCTGAAATACATAAGAACATATTTTAAATATCATAGTCTTGAATAATATGATCACCATTTGCTACAGAAGCAAATGGAGAAAAAAGCTTGTGACCAAACGCTTCTATCAAAACAAACAGCTCATTGAGCCATTTTAGCCAAGTGGCTCAAATGCCATTTGTTATAAAATGAACTGTCTGTAAGAAAGCGTTCTAGGTGAAGAGTAAAAAAAATTGGCTTGTAGCCCTGGTTTTGCCATGAATTTACTACTGTCCTTGGACAAGTCACTTGCCCACTCTGGGGCCTGATCTCCCTGTTATAAAATGAGAGGTCAGATTATATATTTTCTCAGGTCCTGTTTATTTTACAAAGGTTGATTCCTATGAAGTGAATGTAGACTGGAGAGCTTTTAGGAGAAAACTAAGTATTACAGATATTTATGACAGCATGTAGATTGAAAACCAAGGTCACTCAACTTAATTTGACACTTTTATAAGCAGATGACATTTCCTGGGTTGTTACAATGTGTGGTAATAAATGAATACAACTGATTTCTTTCTTGGATTATGAAAAATATTCTTGCTACAGTCACACTGCATACATGTTAAACAATGAAATGCCAACTCCTAATTGTTAACAAATCGTGAGGGGCTCAGATGGAGATCTGGCACTTTTGTCTCGATGGTTTAAAAGAACATATAACTAACTTCTCAGATCACATCTTTCTTGCTGTCCTTCAACCCCCCCCCCCCCCCCCCCCCCCCCCCCCC